TACATAACATTTTAATCCAAAATTTTAGAATATTAAATTTGTGAGTCTTGTTCACTTATATACCTCTTCTTCAAACCAATGCCATCCCATATGGAACTTTTTTCCATGTTAAGTCAAGTCAACTAATATTTAACATCCCAACAAGTCTAACCTTTCGTAGATATAAATTAATGTTTACTTACCATTTGGTGTTGGTCTGCCTTCTGCAATAAAAACCGTAGCAAGGAGGAATGAGAGAAGCAAAGCAAGGCTAATACGAGCAAACTTAGCCATTGTGATTTCTTCACCCAAACTCCCTCTTCAAAATATTTTTTGCAAGCCAAGTTAGGATGGTTAGCAATATTGGAGATATGGCTTATATGGGAGAGAGGACCGGCTTTACCTTGGTTAATTTAATTACCTCGTCATTGTTAATTGTTATTTAATTAAATACAGCACATACTTGCTAGGTTCTTTAGTGAATATAATTGACATTGATTCAAGGGTTCGTCATAACATTAGGGCAATTGCAGGCTTGCCGAATACGATGATTCTGCCTCCATTTTTTTTTTTTAATATTCTCCTTTTTCTCTGCAAGCCCTTGATCGACTTCCACTACACTTTGCTTATGTATATGCGTGTCACTTAAATATAATATTAACTGCAAGCTAGCATGTAGATCTTATCCAGCGAGGTTTAGTTTTAATTTAAATTTAAATTTAAATTTAAACTAGAATTAAATCATGTGCGTTGCACGGAATTGATCTGACATAATTGAGTTATCATTTGACAATTACATATTTTGCTTTTTAAAAGTTCATTACAGATATCATTTCCTTAAGTGAGTGGATTGGATGACACCTCAAAATCTAGAACTGAAAATTTTAGTTAATAATGTAATCATATTAGTTCTCATTGTCAAAATTTTTTTGGTTAAACCAAATTTCCGAGAGACGGAAATAATATACTTGTATATTTTCAATTTTATTTTCTCTTTTTCATCAATAACCATAATAAATTACTCCCACTGCCACTAAACTATTATTTGTGTAAGAATTTATTTATTTATTAATTTTGAAATATGTCATCAATAAATGTTTAAGTTGGCTATTTCATCACTATGTGATAATTTCCAATAATAAAGAAAATATAACAATGTGTGAGTAAATGTTGTTTGTGAATGAAAAAAAATTGTTAGAATAATCACTTTCAATTGGAATTATTAATACTTGAATATGTTTCCATAACACTAGATCACAGATAAATGCATAAAAAATAAATAATTTCAAACTCCCTCGATAATTAGGCTGATTACTAATTTCTAAATCTATAATTAGACTCATATTTTTAGAGACAACTCTTATGATGCTAATGAGGTTGTGGTCGACCTTATTACTAAAGATAGTAGTTGGGATACTAGCAGGATGGAGAGGGTGATTGCCTAATCGAATTGTTTAAAAGATTGCTTGCACCCCCATTTCGAGAGTTAGGAGAGGAGATGATTTATTTATTTAGAGGCCATCTAATGATAGCAATTTTAATGTTCATTTTGCATATGATCTTTCAAGTAACCATAATGCACTTGGAGGGATTTGGAGTTAGACTTGGAGATGGAAGGGACCATAAAAGACCAAGTCTTCTTTTAGCTTATGGCAAACAATTGAGTACATACAAGGCTTTGGGCTATAAGGGGATTGTTAAGCTTTGATGAATGCCCCCCTAGGTGTAGCGCCAAAGAAGATGTCCTTCACCTCACTAAGATTGTAAGCATGCAAAAGAACGTTGGAGATGCATAGTGAAACCGGACCAGTGGAGTCGGTTTAGGAACTTGACAAGGGAAGAATGATCTCATGGAACCTTAAAAGTGAAATTGGCAAAGATTTTACTAGATAGGTACCTTGGGCTACTCTCTTTGACTATATTTGTTGGGATATCTAGTGTGCGAGATGCAAGATCCTCTTTGGCAATGATGATATTGATCAGACTACGTCAGGTCTTACTACTCTCCAAAAAGTCAAATTTGATTTTAGTTTGTTGAATATGTCTACTATTTAAGTAAAAATTTTAGTGTTTCTTATGAAAAATGGTACCAGCCCAAAGAGGGAAAAGTTAGATGAGATGTTCATGGATTTATCTAAGGATGGGCTCAGTAAATGTGGTGGAGTTGTTAAAAATAGCTTGGCTGGTTGGTTCGTGGGTTTTCATGCTGCTATTGGATTACTTCTAGTGGCGATGACTGAATTGTATGGCATTATTTTTGGTTTACATCTTTGCTAGAATGGAGGGTTTCAAAGAGTCAAAGTTTTCACTGATTGTATTGAAGCCATCAACTTTCTTTATCGTAGCAATGTGGATCAACATCCTTTTAAAGATATTGTAGAACAAGTTAATTGATCTTACATAGAGAATGACATGTGACTGTTAACTTTATGTTTAGGGAAGAAAATTTTTGCGTTCATTACTTAGGTAGAAATGCTTTTATTTGCTTAGATAGTTGGCATGTATTTGATCACCCACCCCTCACTGTATTAAGGTAGTGCATGAGGAGAGAAATTCCTTTCTTGTGAACCCTTGATGTACTTTGTTGCTTAGTTTTTTCCTAGTTGTAATAATAATAAAAAAAACTCCACCGGTTTCGTTTCTTCCATGTTTTGGATACAGGGGAAATTTTTTCTCACATAACTACATGAGTCAATGCTTATAATGATAAATCATAAATACACACACACATATATATATATATATATATATATTGGGTTATCAACCCTTAATAGATTCAAGTTCAAAATTAGAGTTGTGACTCTATTAAAACATTTAGGTAGTATAGACCCTTGTTTATGATAAAATTGGGACCATGAGTGCAATATTCTCATTGTTCGTTTTTTATAAGCATATGCACGCTTCTCCATGTAACTACTTTGTGGGTAATTTATAGGAGTGGGCAAAGAGAAAATAAAGACACTTTCCATTTCTATAAAACTTTCTCCCTTATCTTTTCTTTCTTTTCTCTGTATTCTTCTTGTGTTTTCAAACTGAGTTCTTATAATGATCTGTTTTCACATACGTTCTATTTGCTACAACTTATATCATTTAAGTATGCTATTCTCTTGCAAAAACTTACAATATTTGTCTGGAAGTTGGCTGGAAAAAAGTGAAACAACTAAAAATTTGACTATTATGCTTCGGCTGGAAAAATTACAAAATAACCCCCAAGGCAAATCAAAAGCTTCTCTTATGCTATTATGTAAGATACAAGGCCCAACTCATATCTTATGAACTCTCACTCCTTAATTCATTTGAGCCTTCAATCATTGTACATTGTGACACCAATAGTGTGACGTTGCCAAACAATCTAACTTCAGTTCCACTTTGCTTCCACTTCCCCAAGGGCAAATGTGCATATTGGATTGATTTTGATTCATATTCGCTCTATGATGCAATATATGTTCAAGCAATAGTTGAATTTTTTTTTTTTGGCCTTCTTTATATATGATTGATAGATGATTTTAATTTTATCGTTTGAATATAGTGGCATTTTGAAAGCAGCGGCAATGGTGGACTTTGTAATAAAGTTCCATTAGTTTGGCTTATAATATTAGGAAAATGGAGAAAACTTATATATTTAACCTCATATATTTAATATGCTTGTATTTAATTAAATTAAAATATGTGAATTTTTTATAAATTATTTATTCTACAATAAATTCTTGTTATTGATTAAACCAATATATTAAGATCCACATGTTATGATTTGATTAAATATAAGTATATTAAGTGTATAAAGTTAAGTATATAAGTCTTGTTATGGGGAAATTATGTATAGGTTTCAAGCAAGTAAATTAATTCCAACTAGTTCTATTGAATTTGAAGAATTACTGATAGTTTTTTTTTAATAACAATTACTGATAGGTTTTAACTTTTAAGGGATTTAGAATAATTTGAAAGGGGTGTGAAATTACTCCCTTATATCTAAGGACCTTTAATTATTTGAGCGACTCTAATTATTTTTATATTTGAAAATAATTAGTTGGTAATTTTCATTAATTAATTTCTTTAATAAATTTTTAGATGAACTCAACCTGTCATATGTAATTAAAAAATAATTTTCATTTTGTTCTAAATAAAATCATAATTAAAGATACTTTGAAGCCATTATTATTTAATTTACTATATGTTTACTCAATACTTAATATAAATTGCTTTTGACCATTATAAATTAATCTAATGAATTTTTACTTCTCTTTTCTCAATTTTTTCTGATTTAATTTAACTGAAAGAAATGAACGCAAATTATAAGATGCCACACGAGGAACTGTGCTAGGGATGTAAACTTTTCTTTTTATCTAAATATAATGTGAAAAATAAAATTTCTTTTCTTCAAATCTTAAATATAATTTAACAACATAAATATTAATATAATAATTCTTTTGGTAATTTAATTTAAGGTTATAAAATTATTTTATTTCAACGACAATTTTGCAAAAATATATCAAAATATTTTTATTACTATATGTCATAATCATCATCAATTGTTAACCTAAAATCATGTTTTTTTTTAAAAAAAAAAGATTCAGCAGCCTATATACATATTAATTCAAATCAATTATACACTTAAAATTATTGTCTATAAAAAAATTACATAATTTTTGAATAGATTTTAAAAAAGTATAATTAAAATAGCAATTATGACTTTTGATAATTAATTTTGGTTGGCAAGTATTTCCTCCGTTTCTATCTATAAAAAAAATTATCATTTTTTACTTTTTTTTTATATAATAAAATTACATATTTCAATAAATATTTATTACATATTTTTTAAATTATCTCTCATAATTTATATTAATAAAAAATAATTAATTCATATTTATATTGATTAATATAGAATATTTTAGTTTAATTTTTTATTTTTAAACATAATTATTATAATTAATTTTTTATACTGTGTAAAATAATTTTTTTTTTTTCATGTATATTAAAAAGGGAGTAATCTACTAACAAGCTCCACACTCGGCAGAGGTGGCCGTCGGACTCCGTCACTGGGTGGAGCTCACAGTCAGACGCCGTCACTTGTTGAGGCTCGCTGTTGGACACCTTCCACCGTGGTCATCTGTGCGTCGGTTTTCTCTGACACTTATTGAGTTCTCTCTTTCCTCTTCCTTGTTTTCTCAAAACCAAATTCCAGCAAACCAAACAGGGCCTTAGTTCTTTGAAATTACAATTCTTTTCTCGGTACCAGCAAATTGAAATCGGCAAAATCCCGCCACGCATCGTTGTTTGCCCACCTCAGCCCTCCTACTAAGCCCTCCCGCTGTCCAGCAATTGTCCATCTCCACTTCCGTTTCCAGGTAATGACTTTAGTTATTGCTTTTAATGTCTACCATTTCAAAATCTTTTTATTCAGAGCTTTTTATATTCCCTGAAGCTCAGTGGTCGATATGGAAACCGATGAGTCGTCTCGGCTGCTTCCTTTTCAGCTACAATTCGACAAGCCTGTTGCTTCCCAGGTTTTCTTTTGATCTTCCCAACATGTTAGCCTGATTCTCTTCCTGCATTTTTCTGATGTTTTATATTTGGCTCATAGATAAAAATTGCAGAGTGGAATCCTGAGAAGGACCTACTGGCCATGGTTACAGAGGACTCAAAGATCTTGCTACATCGTTTTAATTGGCAGAGGTTATGGACCATAGCACAAGGTGACCGGGGTCCTTTTCAAACTTCATCTTTTTGATTCAACTATAGTATTTCCTAACATGTCTAGTAATGAAATGGGTTTATCGACTTATTGATTTTTGGGTTAGTATACTATCACAATTTACAACAATTTGGTTCTAGCATGTTATTTACCTAGGATATAAAATTGATGTCGAAGACCAGAGTGTTAAGTTTCTAAGGTGTTCCTTAAATATTCTGCCCCTTAGAATTAATTTATTAGGGCGTAATTTGCATCTATAACCGTGATGTTTCCAATGAATTGCAAACTGTATAAAATTGCCTAGAACATCAAAAACTTGGTTCTGTGTTGCTCTAATTTTCTACTCCCTCTGTCCCAAATTATAAGGTACTTTTGAAAGTCAAAAGTTTTTCCGTCTCAAAATATAAGACACTTTGGATAAATTAAGGTTTCATTAAATGCACCAATTTTAATATTATCCTTTTTCTCTCTATAATTAATTTCCATCTTTTCTCTTTTCAATGTATTAAATGATGGGTATTTCGAGAAGTTTATATTTTTGTTTTGGAAAGATAACGTTGTTAGGTGTATTTAATGAGGTTTATTGGTATGCGAGATTTTGCCTAAAAGTGTCTTATAGTTGGGACGGAGAGAGTATTTGGAATTTGTTATCTTTGTTGGATATCAACTGTTGCTACAACTTCTAGCTTGTATGATAGATTAGTGCCTTTCTTTCTGTAGGAAGGTGCATAACATCCTTGTGTTGGCGTCCGGATGGTAAAGCAATTGCTGTTGGTCTTGAAGATGGAACAGTGTCGCTGCATGATGTTGAAGTGGGTAGCAGTTTTTGTTTTTTCGGATTTGATTTTTTCCTTACCAATTTGTTCCTCATTAGCTTGCTTAAGCAGCTAAGGCTGTGTTATGAAGGTTTTGTCTTATGGATTTCCCAGATATTAAAAAAAAAAAAAAAGGCATGTCTGGAGGTTTGAAAGAGTTTGTCGAATGGCTGTTTTTGTTTTGAAATATATCAGAGTAAATAAACTAATTCATATACTATCCCAAAAAAAAAGGATTTTGTTTCTTATTTCTTTGTTCTAGAAAGGCACGTGGTTGAGTCTCTTATTTCTCTGTACTTTGACAGTGATTGTGAGATATATGAAAAATGATTAGTCTAACAGGTAACCAATACTATAGTTTTCATTCCGAAGAGGAAAAACCAGTAAAAGTCCAAAGATCAATTTCATAATGCTTGCTTTTTGGTCGATCTTTTTTCTTTTCTTTTTTCTTTTTCTTTTGCTGATAGAGTAGGATCTGTTCTTTTTGCAGTGATGCTTTTGACTATGTGTAGCTTTGGAGTTTTTGGTCTTATTTTAGTAATTCCTATGGTGCTTTAACTGAGAGATGATATTTCTGAGGCAGAATGGGAAGTTGTTAAGAAGCTTAAAATCTCATTGCGCTGCCATCGTATGTCTGAACTGGGAGGAAGACAGTCACCTAATTACAGTATGCTTCTTCCTATCTAATGACTGGTTTGTGCCTTATTGATTTTGATTGGTATTTTGTGTCCACTAGAACAAGAACGTTTCTATGTGTGCACATATTTATGGACTATTAGTATCATGCAACAGCCATGTGGTAATGCTTTGGATTTGTGGAATTTATTTTCTCATCCATTGGCCTGACTTTTGCTTGCTTTGAATTCAAAATGAACATATGCTGGTTAATATATTTGAGATGAGGAAAAAAGAAAGAAGCTCTGCTAATAAACTATTATCTTTAACGTTTCACAGGTATTGTTATCTGAATCTGATTAGTCTGTGACTTTGCTTTACGTTTATATGCTGGCATGATTAAATTGGAATTAACGGATTTGAAGCACATGTGAAATTTGTGTAAAGGATATATTTTTATGCCATAAAAAACAAATTACATTTTCCTTGTTTATTGTCTCTCATGTTTTCTTTGACTAATAAAATTTGTCCAAACATACCTATTGAGGCAATTTTGTATCTGGAACTTGAACAGAGACTGTATCCGAGTGCGCCCAGCAGTGTTTTTTGTATCTATGTTGTGCTTGTTATTTCTCTCTCTATCTCTCTCTTGGTGTGAGTTTTTTTTTTTTTTTTTAAATGTTCCCTGCCTTAAATTGTCTTTCAGAATGACAGTGGTCCCGTAGCAAAGTATGAAGATAGAACCCCTCGTTTCTTCCCTCCTGCTCCCAGAGTTCCTCGGATGCCTGGATTGGTATCTGGAGATAGTGGCTTCATGGAGGATGGTGAAGATTCATTTCAGGAGCTGTCAAATTCTTCTCATCGACGTTTCAATATCCTATGCAGTGGAGATCAAGATGGAAATATTTGTTTTACTATATTTGGCATCTTCCCGATTGGAAAAGTTGTAAGTCATTGCTTGCCCTGGCATTTGTTTTTATTATTATGCCTCTTGGCATCGGAGGCATGGTAAGAAGTTCAAGGAGTAGGAATTCTAATCATTGGTACTTTTGTTTCTGTTTATTTACTATTAAAAACTTATCTTCAATATTTGATGAATGCTCAAGATGTAATGGTGTATGTCACACCAGAGACAAACATAAAGTACACCATTCAACTAAAACCAGAATACATACTTTACTCCTATATATCATATAGGAGTAATGTAAGGTACTTCTGCAAGCTATATTCTGACTACCAGAAACTGACAGGACTAACAGTGGAAAACTATTAGCCAACTATTTAATATTCTTTTATTCAATTAACATGAACCAACAGCTGATAACATTTCGGACCCTCATAATAATTAACTTAGGATAGTTTGTAGGGGGGTTTCACATAGCTGGGCTAAGCGCAATAAGTGCAAACTCTCTTGAATTAATGCCTGATTTCTTAAATAAATCATTGGCTGTTAGTATTCAGAGTAGTAATGACATTGGACCTATTTGTGGATGTGAAACTTGGAAGTCTGAACTTACCTCTGTATTATTCCCTTATTTTATATGAAAAGATTCATGCTGCCTTGAGTGCAGGCTTTTGAGTGTAGAATGGATTGATCTAGCTGATGTGGACTGTTCTTTTACTTGGGAAATCAATAAAATTTAGCCTTTAGTGTCATAAGATAAACAGTGTATTTGTTTGTCTAGCATGTGCATGTGAGCTTCTTTCCCCTTTTTGATCAATGAGCTTCTTTCCCTTTATATATATAGCATGCCAAGTTTATAATATCATTCAAATTCTTGATAGTACTCAGACAACTTTTACAAGACAATATATTTTTGGATAAATATTGTATGCTCCATCCAACTACAGCAGAAAAAGAAATCATGGAAGCTATCAAGTTGGTCTATTCTTTTTCTTTATTCTTTATGTCCATCATCTTGTATCTTATGTGCTGCTTAGTTCCCTTTTCACTCGACTGTGCATTTAACTTCTTTTTTTCCCTTTTGGATTAATTTTGATGTTGGTGTTTCAGAACATACACAGCCTTGCTTTTCCTACTTCCTGTACGGGTGTAGAAGCAACGTACCAACTTTTAAATGCTTCTATACACAAGGTAAACTCTTCTTTTTTATCAGTAAATTTTTTACACTCACCCAAGCAGGGGACAAAAGCAGGAAAGAACAAAATGTAGTTTGGTTCTTGTGATTAAGTACTATGATTCTTTAACATGTGAATAAGTATGGTCCACTCAGTGAATAGGAGAAACAGATTGTTTAATAATAACCATTGGAGTAAGATGATGACGGTGCAAAGGAGACAAAGCATTTTGATCGTTCGAAATCCCAGTTCCTCTGCCTATTGGATCTAATGTTTCTGCTACCTAGTCTACCTTTACACTATGTATGCTAGTTTTAAATGGTAGATCAAATGGGAGAGGGGAATGGAAAAGATTCTAAGTTTAATGTTTCAATAAACCGCTTTGATGTTTTAACCAATTTATAGGTTTGGGGTTAAAATGGCAAATTATAGGCTGTATTGCTCTTGCTAACCCTTCCATTCCTCCCACCCTACAGAAAAAAAAAGGAAAACCCGTAAGAGGACAATGGGGTGAAAGTGGGATGCGCCCACTATGGAACATATTGGTAAATAAAGAATAAAATTAACAGAATAACTGGACTAAACATATAGTTTAGCAACTTACAGGTGGAAGCTGATGTTGTTACATGTCTCCAGGTCTCTTTATCAAAAGATCTTTGCCGTTTGGTAGTCATGTGCTCAGGGGTCCTTGTTGAAGTTGATAATGACTCGAGGCGAATTCATAAGGATGGAGAGGTTCATGGCCTACACTGTTTAGCATTAAATACTGCTATATTTTGGAACAGGTAATCTTTCTATGAAAAGCAGGATGTTCTACTAGTAAGTTGATAGAAAATAAATTGTGTAATGTCAAAACTATAAAATCTTTCTATTTATGTCTCATTTATTTTTCTTTGTTAATTATATAAGCTTTTACTCTGTATTCATGAAGATGAAAGTGATCATGCATGCTTACTTAATAGAACTCTTCTGCCTCTGTATGCATGACTTTGACTCTCTCCATGTTCTATACATGTAGGAAAAATGAGCTCCATCAGGTAGCTCAACAAGCTTCTAACATTGAGGATTTGACTGAGGTTGTACGGACTTCAATATCTGTTATGCGTAAGCAGTGGTCTGATGCCATGCACACTTTTCGGGAGAAGTTTAATTCTTTGTCATCCCTGATTATAGATCACGGTAACTGATTTAAAGTATAAGGAAATCGTTTGTGCAAAGCTCATAAATTCATTTGTTTCCATCATTCATGAATAGGATTTGATTCCACCCCTCAAGAGGAGTTTCTGAGCCTTTTGGGTGGTGCAAGGACCAGTTCAGCTGTTCATCAATTTCTTGTTAACTCCCTTGGTGAAGTGGTACACAGATAGCCTTATATATATATATATATATTTGTTTCTTCAATATTAGTTTGTGGTTGTAGTTTTTAGTCAGTACGTTTATTGCTCTTCAGGGTGTTAAGCGTGTTTCAAAGGTTCTCTCTGGTGCAGGAAAAGAACTTCAGCGTATTGTCTTGGACCATCTTCAGGTGCATGTTCTTTTTCATGTGCCTTGTGTAGTGACATCTACTGAATGCGTTAATGCTTGAGAGCATATTTTATCAAAATGCTTATGCTGTAAATAGTTTGGTGCAAAAAAGGATCCCATTAATACTCTATTTTTACTTTGATGCTGTTACAGATCAAATGGCCTCCTCTGTATAGTCTAGAGGAATCCTAACCAACTATTCTAATGGCTGCTGCTAAGCCATCTGGAAGTTGTTACAATCCCTCGCCTTTTGTTCTATCCTTTAGAATTGCTCTGTATCACAATTCCTAAATTGATGTTCGGCTATATTGCTAAATTCTGCAGTTTTGGTTTGAAGAGATACAAAACCTTTACAATTGGTAATTAGTAAATCGGAATATAATTCTCAAAGTCCATGAGATCCCCTTTTTGTTTACAAGTAGAATTAGAATTTATAAACTTACAAGCTACAAATAAGTGATTTAAAGCCCATGCTATTATGTTTGACGTCAATAGAACCAACATGAAATTGTTCATTGTGTCCAAATTCTTTTTGTATGAATGTGAGTGATGTTCATTAACAATCTCTTGTTTTAGAAAGTAGATATTATGATCTCTTGTAAAATTTATTTGTATGGTTTTCTTGACCTTTGTAAGGCTTGGCCACAGTTTTTCTAACATTATATGTAGACCTGAACACACACACACGCACACATTCTCACACGAGCAGACTGTAGAGTAAATTACTAAGTATTAATAACGGGAATTGGTTAACACTATGGTGTCTTTTTGGTACGTTGCAATGATTTTTATAAGAATGAAAATGAGAATGGAAAAGAATTTTGAGACCCAGAATCACATTTGACATGATATATAAAGGGATCAGAATGCCATTTTATTTTATATTTGGTTAGATGGAATATATGGGGGAATAAAAATAGTGGTAAAAATATGACTGAAATGCACTCAATTAGAAAATGTTACTCCCTTTGGTCCTGAATGTAGGAATTAGATAACTAATTCATGCAGATTAGTGAAATTTGTTAAGTCAGATATTTGTGAGAAATGTCGTGTTAGTTTCCCTAAATTACTCCTCCTCCTTTATATCATTTACATTGGACTCTACCCTTATATAATGGGTGCAATTCATTGAGGTAGTTTAGGGGAAAATAACAAATATGGGAGACAAAGGAGATTGAAGTTATATATTTAGAATCAAATCAAACCTCTCAACTAGCTCCTTCATTTAGAACCAGAGGGAATATATTTTTTAACCTTAATTAACTAAAAAATTAGTACTTTCAAATCTCAATCCCTAACTCTTAAACGAATTAGATTATATCATTGTTATTATGTTCTCCAATAAAATAAATGACATTTATGATTTAATTGAAGAATGATAATGATACTATTGTTTGCAAGAACTTTATACTTTCCATTTTATTATTAAAAAAATCATACACTTCATGTTTTAATTGGTTAATTTGACAATATATAAGGATCTATAAGTTTTTCTTCTCCCAAATTTCACCATACATGGATACACCGTAATCTTTCTGTCTTGAGCTCTTCAATCTCACAAGTCAGCTTCTAAAGCATGGCTCTTCCAAAGGTCCATGTGACATTTTACCCCTTAAATCTCTATATTAGGGGATATGGTTGTTTTCTTTGCCCCATTGGACTTATCGTTTACATGTGGTTAGCTTCTTTAAGAGAATTTTTTATGTCAGGTATGTAGAGAGATTAAGGAGCATTCTTATGATTATGCGCTCATCTTCTGTATTTTTTTTCCCTCATTCTTTCTCTGACTTCAGCTTTAGGAGGATTCATTGTATTCTCCATATTCTTCGGCTCCACTTTACCAAAGTCATTTGTTTTGGGGGCAAAAAAAAAAAAAAAAAAATTGCATGAATGCTACAGACTAAACTAGTTTTATCTCTTTAACTGCTGCCACATGCCATATCCTTTGAAAATATGCTGCAACTTTTGTTCTAAATAACTTGAATTCTAAATACAAGCTCTGCAAACTATTGTATTGTCAATGAAAACTAAGTGAAGCAATACATATTTCAGCCTGCTACAGAAGTTATTGCATTCAGGATGGGAGAACTAAGAGGGCTTTCAAGATGGCGTGCACGCTACTACGGCATTGGCTTGGATGAGTCACTTCTTAATAATGCAACAGAAAAGGCTGGTATGCTACTTGTGCAAGTTGAACGATTTATGAGGATTCTTTCATCTGTTGTGCAGCAGGTTTGCCATTTTTAAATCTATAAATTTAAGTTATCTCTTGAACTTTAGCTTCAATCTTACTAATGTATTCTCTATTTCTTTTAACATTTTGGTTTGTCTTAAATTTTTTCAATAGCTATTAACTATTTTTTTTTTTTTGGGTGTGGTTACAATGAATTCTTTTTATGATTCAACTGTTTGAGCATAGCATTGCCTTAAATATAATAATTCCATTATTATCTGTAAATCCTCCATCTGTAATTCTTTATGAGCAAGCAAACTTCAACAATGAAATCAATACAACAGATCCTAAACACACACCATTGTTGACTTACTAGTCTAGCGCTCCCCAATTTTATCAGTTTTCCATGTTAAACTACATATCTTTTCCTCATGATGTAAATAACTTAGCTTCTCAAAGATTCTACTCATATTTTTAACATTTAAACCCCTGTTGAAATATGCGGGGGAAAAATCAAAGGAATTAAAACAAAGTTGCATGGGGTCCTATGAAACATGTAGAGAAAGATTGAAAGAATAAGAAAGGTTGCACAAGGCCCAAGAGGAGCCGTACTATTCATGGCTTCTGAATATTGATGAATCATGTTTGTTGCTCCATTTTTACGTGTCTTTGAAACATTGATTGGAGTTTGACATTTTGGCATCTCATGTATTCAATCCAATGCTTCTTGAGTGAGTGTTATGACCACATGCATTAAGTATCAGTTCCTTTGTATAAGCCTACAGGTATTTGATGGAAGGAAGTCTATTACGCTTAAAACTTCTATTAGTTAGGAGAAACGATATTTTCTAGGTGGATAAATCCCTTCCGCAATAAACCATGAAAAAGCATTATATATATATATGTATATATATTAATGTTTGAGGTCTATTTTCCTCATGTATGAAGAGGATAGAATGGATGAGAAACTTTGAATTTGGCTTCTATTGAAATGATTAAAGCAGAACGTGTTACGATTTGATGTGTCTGAACAAAATCAATTTGGTATGCATGTTAACATTTTTTTTATTTTTTTCCGAAAGCCCATTCTGCCTACTTTAGTTTGTACATTTTATTCACGATTCATTTATAATTTTTCTTGTACCAGTTTTCAAACTTTTTCAACTGGCTCTTAAAATGTATAAAGTTACTCATGTCAGAACCTAGTGACCAGCTTCTACCATATAACAGGTTTGTTTTACAATCTCTTAATGTTCCGATTGTAAAGGTGCTATTTTTGTCATTTTTCTGATGTTACTTTTCGATTTGGCAGTGAACTTGTTGTAATATTCCTGAAATTTTTGTATGACCAAGATCCAGTTAAACAACTGCTGGAGATATCAGAAACGGATGGTGATGTTGAAGTTGATTTGTAAGTTTTTTTCTCCTTCCCAAGTCGTATTCAGTGTTTGATCCCAAACTATCACCATTTTCTGCTACCAATCGCATTGCATCTTTGCTTTATTCAAGCAGTGGCTCATCTTTAGCTTGTATAATTATAACAGAATTTTTTATGCTATTGGCATCTCGCTCTTGATATTTATATTTTCCAGAAAATTAGGCCAGGTTTTTATGGCATACCAGCATTAAGAAAGTTTTAACTATTGTCTCGTATGAGAATTTAATTTCAAATTTCTGCTAGCAAGATTTCCAATGATTGAAAGTGGATAGCTTCTTTATTCTTAAATATAATATGCATGGAAATCTAGGGTTATGAAACATTCTTATTGGAATATGGATGTCTGATGTTGATTTGCTTTTACCAATTTCTACAGGGAGACGTTGGAAAGAATCAGAGAATTAGTTCAATTTGGGGGATTCGCAGACTCTGAATATCTAAAGAGAACTTTGGCTAAAGAATTTCAACAGATGGAATTAAGGTATTATTTTCTTTATTTCTTTTCTTTTTTTTTTTTCTTTCTGGTTATTTTTCATTTACATTAGGGGAGTTTGCGGCCGGGCTGCTATCCATATTCTTACCCACTCTTACCATTTAAGTTACCCTCAGGTGGCTGGGAATTAAGGTATTTTATTCCTCTTTCCATTGCCCTCACCAATGGTAATGATCAAGATACTGATGAGATTAACAGAGCACTGGCCCATTCTTTAGCTGTGGGCATTGTTCTAGTTATTCTATTGTATCTGAGTCTAATTGTGAATCTAATGTCTTCCAGCTTTAAGGAGGCTCTCCAAATGCCTTTTACTACAATTTCAGGAAAAATACTCTGTGAGGATTTATTACCACTCTTTCCCCTCTCATCTTTGCCAGAAGCATCTCTATCCATTAGAATTCCTGCTTCAGTATCGTATTTTGAGGTACTTGTTCATGATAGAATCTCCAACAATTTTTTAGTCTAATTCATATGAGGCCTTTTCTAGGTCATCATATTTTCCTATGATTTCATGCCAATTTATTTTCCTACTTCATAAGTTACATCTGTCGCTTCTTTCTGTAGGATTTCTCCAAAACTTCTTTGTCACATCAAACTTGTCAACATCAGTTTATTGATTACATATCTTTCAAAGTACCTGACGAGTCTTTCACGGATATTGAGAATTGCATATGCATAGTGCGGGGGTTTATGCATGACTTGGAATGTTTGAAGAAGGGCTATAATTCTTTGGAAGCTATGTTGTTATGCGTTCCTAGTGACTATCAATGCGTGGATCTGTCTTTGTACAAGGTAAAGGCCTAAATAGTGGATATAAAACCTTTCTAATAGCAGTATTGAATTCTACTTTGGTTCAAGTCGTAGTTTGATTTTGCTGTTTGAAATAGGATACTCAAATCGTCTTGTTACTAAACCAAGCTCCAACTACGTCAGAAAGCACCGGAGATGGTTGTATGATGATTCTACAAGCAAGCGATTTGCCATTTGTTTCTATATCAAGATCTGCTCACACAGATGTCTGGAGGTTAAAAGAACTCAAGGCAAGTCTTGCCATTTCCATCCTTTAATTCTATCCGATGGGGTTTATAGTTTTCAACTTAAGGAATCAAAACAGTGAAAATAATATACTTGGGGTCTTTGAACATCGGTAAACATATTTATACTTAATAATTCTTTCAACAATGCTTGAAATCATTTGTATCTAGGACTCTGCTGCGCACCTACATGTTGAGGATGAGAAAGCTCGCGCCATTCCTCATTCTGTAATAGCTCCCTTGGCAGTTAGCGGTAAGTAGTCTCATTCTTTTTATCCCTGTCAATCACATTATGTAATTCCTTGGATGCAAGATTCTGCTTGTTAGTCCACCAAAAAAACCCGGATGTGGATTTTTTTTTTCCCCATGTTTTAATCATGAGAATTTGGAAGAGTTTCAAAATTTGTTGCTTTTATTTTTAATTTAAGTTAGAATAACTTACCCCTGCATAAAAAATAAAATTAAAAGAAGTGTTTAAAAGCATTGTTTGGTGTTACCTCAGGAATAATATTCCACATTAATAAACAATATCAATTATCGCGCGCGCACAGAAGCATATAAATTCTGTATTGTTCAATGAAATCAAATTATTATCTATGCATTTGTATATATTAAGCTTTTACTTTGCCTTGCTAACAGCATCAAGAGGCGTGGCTTGTGTATTTGCTGCAAGAAAACGTGCCTTGGTTTACATCCTGGATGAGGATGAAGATGAAGCCTCAGATGCAGAATAATTGCCCATTTATTTTAATTTGTATGATCTTTGGTTGAATGAGAAAATATGTAGAAAAGGGATATCTTCCATTTTCCCATCAACACTTGCACCTATCTATCATGGTTATATCCAGTGTTACATCGCTTATTTATTGTAATATCCAATTATGATGTAATTAAATGGATTTTTTTTTAAACCAGAATTAAGTTGATTGGTTCAGGAAAAAGGGGTCATAGATATTCAATATGAAACATTTTATCATTTAAGAAAAAACTGTGTATAGGTCCCATGAAATAGATTTATTTATAAATAAGTTTTACAAAATTTAAAAATTATATCAAGATTTCTTGAGATCTAAGTATAATTTAAAATTGGAGTGCAAATGTAATAATATATCTATTAAAGTATATTATATCAATTAAATAATTTACAATTATTTTATCAGTTAGTTATAATTATCATATTAACTTTTTATAAATGTAATTTTACATATGTATTAGTTAAATTAATCAAGTGTTTTTAATTATTAACTATGTGAAGTTAAAGTTATAAAATGTTGAAATTACAATTATAAATTGTTGATGGAGTAATTGTAAATAATTAATGTTAAAATTTGTTAGTATGACATGATTGATTTAATATTAAATATGTGAAGTTATAATTATAAATTATTGATAAAATAGTTGTATATAATTACTATTAGACTTGTAATGCATGATTAATTTAATTATTAGATATATAAAGTTATAATTATAAAAAGTTGATGTGATAGTTATAAAAAAAATTACATATAAAGCTCATGTAATAGACTTATTTATCAACAAGTCTCTCGAAATTTAAAAATTATAACCAAGTTCAAGGTATAATTTGAAATTAGGATGTAAAAATAATAATATTTTTATTATATTACATCAATCAAATAATTAATTTATAATTACTTCATCAATAATTTATGATTATAATTTTAATTTTTTTACACTATAACTTCACATATCCAATAATTAAACAATTATATGTTATTAATAAAGTTTAATATTAATTATTTATAATTATTTTATTAGTAATTTATAACTATAATTTTAATTTTTTACAACTATAATTTACATATTCAATAGTTAAATTAATCATTTTAATTATTCGATATATGAAATTACAATTGTAAAAAATTAAAATTAAAATTGTAAATTATTAATGAAATAGATGTAAATTATTTAACTAATATAATATATCCATATTTAATAGAGAAATTACTGTCTTTTTATCCTAATTTCACATTACATTTAGGTCCCAAGAAATCTAATTGTAGTTTTTTGAATTTTGTAACTTATTTGTAAATAAATTAACTTCATGAGATCTATATGTAATTGTTTTAATTATAAATTACTAATGAAGTGATTATAAATTATTTAATTAATATAATATATTTTAATAGAGGTACTATTGATTTTTCACCCTAATTCAAAATTACATTCAAGTTCTTTAGCTGTAATTTTTTAAATTTTATAAAATTCATCTGTAAGTAAATTTGCTCCACAAGATCCACACATATTTTTTCCAATAATTAAACTTACTATTTTGCATTATAAATTTGAGAAATAAATTGCACCAATCGTAACTTTCAAATAAAACACCAAAACTAACTTCCTATAATTTCATTAAATATATTGACAACTCATGTATTGATGTATCGATATTTTTCTTTTGCATCCTCTAATTGAAATGTTGAATTGTCATTTCATTTTATCAAAACACACAGGATAATGTAGGCCACAACGAGAAAACGGATGGTCAAGCTGAAAGGTAAGAAGGGGCTTCTCACATGCCCAGCTAAAAATTCATTCGAGAGACCATCGGAGCACATAACAGTCTAATGTTTAGGACGCGACTTCCATACAAAGCAGGCATCTAACAGATACTATCTCTACACGAATCAATTCAATTTTAGCAACTTAACTACTGATGATCAATTTGTGATTATTGAGTTACAAGGCAAACTACATGATAAAACACATAATTGAATATCACCCCCTAACCTAATAGCACAAAATTCCATAGGTCAAGGCCATTCAGTCCAACATTTATGGCCGTAGATACTTCAAACGTAAAGAAAAAGACCTGAGTTTCCGTAACTCCACAGTGAACTTGTCAGTTTCCAGCAGCTGCAAACATTTTCCGAGTCCTTGAAAGAAGTTGCAGGCTTTAATGTGGAGGGGAAAACATTACGGATAAAACAGCTAAAAGAGAGTTTTTGCAGGGTGATACTCCTGTACAGGCAGATGTCTCAGCAACTGGTTCAAGAATTAAGGCATCATGGAAACTCTTTAGCTAAGATCCTGCACCCCATGATTCAATTTCAATCCCGGATTATTGCCCTCGCTTCATGCTATAGAACTACAGCACCCCAGCAATTCCAAATACCAGGCAAGAGGAGCTTTCGAGGCTGCTATATAACCTGTTCAGATCATTTAGCTGTGCCTTCCAGGTCGTGTTCTATGAATCATCCAACTCAACAAGTTGAGCCCGTCTTTCAGCAGCCTTCTTCCGAATAAAAATACCCCATCTCAAAGCTGCCTTGAGCTTGAGCCAGCCCACAACAGCTTTTCCGGAGGAGCGGTTTCGATCATCATCATAGGTCACGGGGGAAGTAGGCACATAAGCAGATGTACCGGGGTACCCATATTCAGGAGCATTAAAGGAAGTATGAGCATGACCTCCCATGTTAAAAATACGGAGTAGATGCTGCATATCTTCATTTTCTAGCATTTCATGGCTTCTAATACGGATCTCCTCCTCATGGAATAAGTCTTCGAAGCCTCTATAAGAAGGATTTGACATGCTGACATTCTGAAATCCTGGTGCACCTGACTGAGGCGGACCAAGAGTCAGCCCATCTTCATTCCTTGAAAGTTGAGGTTGGTCTGAAGAGCTCATCAACTGGTTTTGTAGTGTCATGTCAGTACCATCAAACTGAATTGAAGAATTAAGATTAGCATGTTGTGCTTGCATTGAAAATCTGGCGGCTGATGCGTCATGATAACCTGGAGACACTCAAAAGTGGCCAACAAAAAATTATCAGTTCATACTCATTAGCTCACTTCGATTTTTTCTTTTTAAAAGGGTGAAAAAGACATTTTGATGAAAAAGTAAGGGTAGAATCCGTACGGGCTCAAAAGACACACACACAAGCATATGCGTGCATGTGTGCTCACCCACCCACACAAACACGCACAGAGAAGTGCAGGGGAAGAAGGACAAGAAGTTCAGAAATAATGTTCATAAAAAAAGAGTGCAAAAGACTATGCCTTTTGCTGTGAGTTTATTATAATGTTGCTTTGCTTGGAAATATATACCTCCAATTGCTACCCCTGAATCCATGGGAGGCTGCCCCGCAGGCACTGCAACAGGCAAACTTGGGATGGAGATCTGCTGATCAAGTGAGTTTGAATAATCATGTGAACCCATCGGAAGCTGGGGTTGAGAATTACCCAAAGTCTTATTCTGATTGTAATTTATCAGAGACTCTCCATCGTACTCTACAACATGCATCCAATTATCATATGCCTTCTTCACCAATGTGTCAACAAAAACCTACATGCAGTCAAGAACAGGGACCATGGGCATTTTCACCTTTCCTTCCATAAATTTTGAAAGAGAAATTCGAATACAAAAGTTTACATTTCTTTTGCATTATAGAAGAGAATTTAGTCCATCAATAAAAATAACATATACAAACATAAATTCAAGATTAACTCTGCAGGCCTCCTGACCTTTTGACTTTCAGAGAGATAATCAGCTGAATAATACTGTTCATTAGTAATTAAGCCACTGAACTCATATATGTTGTTGAAAACAACGCCAACATTCCTTGCATCTTCCGGATAGTATACATAAAGCTTTCCACTAAGAACACAAGTCTTTGCATGCTCAACAAGAACATCCCACATTTTGTTAGACATGCCACTCCCAAGAATCTACATAAAAGATATAATGGACATGAAAAATCTTGACAGAAGGAATTATATCAAATCATAAGCGCAAGCACACAATGAAATTTAATCCTTCAATAGAAATCCCCACCTTAGAACAGTTGATATTTAAAACCCAAAAAGGTTACAAGAGTCAGCATGCTTACATTTCGCAACCTCTGAGGGTCTCTGACCACAAGCCGAAGGAAGTCTTCAACAGTGACTATTCCTGCTTTATTTAGCCTCTTGTGAAAAGACCCATCCTTTCCAATCTTCTCCAGTCTCCAGACCTCATCATTCAAGGCAGGTGGATAGTGTTTCTTGTATACTATAATGTAATATAAGTTTAGTTAGTGACCATGCTAGAAAAATGGGGGGAAATGAGCACAACGTTAAGAACTTACATTCTCCACGGTGATCTTTAACAGTGAAGGCTTCTGTTTTGGCTTCACGAATACGAATCCCCTCACAGCAACCTGAGGCAACTCTAAGCCCCAGCCTGAATTTCCTACTCCTTATCCAGCTAGAATTGTCAGTAAATGTAAGCTCACCCAGTGTTCCTACACCCTCTTTCAGAGTAACTTGCAAATCTCCAGTTAGGAGAGGCCTTTTTCCTTCCCTCTCCTTGACGACATGGCTCTCAAATTCTTCTTCACTCCAATTATCATCATCCTCATTGTTGAAATCCCCTTCAAGCACAATAACATCCAGCCTCACTGAAGACTCTGGGCCAGATGTGATGACATGGCCTGTGTTTCCGTCAATTAAAACAATGTGAATGGAAGCACCTTGTTCCCCCTCCACTTTCCCTCCAGTAAACAGGGGAAGGGATAGCCTGGTCTTAAAGTGCAACTGTAAAATTCTGCCATCAGGACCTTCTATGCGTTTAGGAGATGTCCTGCATTATTTATACTTTGATCATTAGCAGAACATCATAGATACAGATGGAACATTCAATTTTGCATTCAAAGCACAACATATAGTCAATAAGTTAGACTTCAACCATATGTCAAACTTTAATTTCTATTAATACAAGTTATTGTGATGGCAGAATTATGCCATGAAAGTAAAGATTCAAACAATGATGGTATGGAATAACTTCAAGATATCGTCAGATTCATGTGGCATATGTCTTTAGGGGGAATGCAAAGCAGTAAGCAACCAAAATAAAAGTCACATGTTAAGAAAATGTATCTGACCAATTTGTTGCCATATAAAAGAGTATGGAACTACAAAATACCTCCCAGAAAGCTTGGCAGGACCTAATTTTGCTAAAGCACGCTCCACTTCTTCACTAACCTGTTGAATAGCAAGCAAGAGTAAGAAAAGAGATATGCCCAAGGCCAAATATCATGCATGCTAAGTGGCAAACGTACACATGATTTACAAAGGATTTCCAATGCATTGTTTTTTACGACATCAAAGACATAAATAAAATTAGGGAAACTTGACAATGATAATAAAAAATCTGATTGAAGCAAATAAGTATAATGTCATGCAAGTCTAATTTTACTTTCATCCCAATTAAGAGCAGGAGAAGCAAAAGTTTCTGTCCCTCCCCATTTCAGTTCAAGAGGGTTTGGAAAAGAGAACTCAACCCAAGAAAAATATGCCTTTCCATTTTCCATCTCTTTAAGGCCTCCTATCTATAAGGGGTATAAGACCTTCTTTAGTTGTTTGTGAATTTCAGCAAGACTATTTTCAGAACATATTGGGTAAGTAATAGATGCAAGTGATTACTATAAGTCATGTAATGAAACGAATTAAACATAAAATCATCCCATCAGATTTTCATATTCAGGATCAATACCACAATGAACTTAATTATCTTACAACTCTCCGTAGAATTGGCTCCAGTGATGAGCAAAGTTTCTGCAGACTGTCCACTTTGAGAGCTTCAACAATTACACTGCATATAATTTATAAATGTAAAATAAATGCATTCATTAACAAATTCAAAACATGAATTTAAACATTAACAAATGAACAGCTTAAGTGCTTAATATTACAAGTTAGCTTAGCCAATTAGATCCAGTGCTCTACCATCACAAGGGGCTGTGTGTCTAAAAGGAACATAAAACATAGAACATTACATAGAATGGTGGTATAAAATGCGTCACACACTTCAAAGGAGATCGATTACACTTTCTGTTTTGGTTTTTCACATTCTTTCTTTGATTCAATGGCCTCCCCATCATCATTATTGGTCTCTCTCTCTCTCTCTGAAGTGTTTCGATTGAAACCTCTATAATACTCTGCCGACAGCCACTCAACACACTTTACACGCTATTATAAGCATGAAAGCAAAGAGCTTGACTAGACAGTTAGATAATCACATTAGCCAATAAAGTATACTACGGCAGTATGATTTATAAAAAGAACATAAAACACAAGAAATCGGATAGAACCAGCGAAATGTTCACCATGCACAACCTAGCGAGACGGAACTTCAAAAGTGAAAAACAATTGAAGAAAGCAAATCACCTGGCTAAAGCAGGCCGCTTCCTATCAGGCTGATCTTCCTCAGCCGAAGTCGAATCCAGGCCTCGCTTTTCTCTGGCCATACTACCCGATCTCTCCAAATATCTGGTTTGCATTTCTCCGTCGAAACACCTCCAGCCAGTTACTTTCCTGTTTGCGTGCTGAGAAAGTGAAAGGAAAGAGCACCGGCGGCAGCAGAAAACAAGTACCTTCCCGAGTCACGTAAGCCCCCCAAGAATTCAGTTTGACTCGAACTCTCAACTATTCGGAAAACAAAAAACAAAGAAAATCTCAAGTATTGGACTTTTCCTTCGTCTTCTCAGCAGCCAAAAGGGTAACAGAGCAGACGATTTTACCCGTTCGGATCGTCGAAATAAATAATAAAAGGGAGAGAAGGAAAATCCGAAGCGGAAAACGAAAGGGATAAAAAAGTAGGAAAGAGAGAAAAGGCAAAGATGCAAAACGATGGATGGAGGGGAATATGTGAGAAATTTCGCCGAAGGGACGGCGAATTTTCTCTTCTGTGCGTACTTGTACGTGAAGCTGACGCTTATTTTGTCGCAGTCGGGACTAGAGAGAAAAAGGGGTTGCTTTATTTTCAGAGAATATAGAGAGAGGGAGAGTGGATAAACACTGGCGGCTTTTCTTAACAGTCGCGAATCTGAGCGTAGTGGGGTTGGAGGTGGGCTGGGGGCTAGGGTTGGGTGTTGCAGCACCGTCAGGATCCGGTGATGTGAGCCGTCGCTTTAGGGAATCATTTTGGAATATTTTTATATAGTTGCCACGTGGGATTATAAGAATGGTTGGGCATGCAATGAAGATAATTGTCAGCGCCCAAAGCTGAGAGCTTAGTCCCTAGCCCCCAACATAATGCAAAAAAAAAAAAAAAAAATCATTTGAAATTCATGTCAAGCTTGTGAAACATGCCCATGTCAACCAAAGCTCAAGCTGAGAATCCGTGTCTGACTCTTTAGGATGTAATATTTATAAGTTGGACTTTAAAATCTAGGTCTTAAAACTTGATAATTTAAAATTAAATTTAATTTTAAAGTTTCGACCTTTATTTAAAAAATTTAAATTTAAACTTTTAAGTTCTTTTTAAAAAAATTAATATTTTAATTTAAATAAAATGTTTAAAAATTTAACGTGAAACGAATCAAAGTCTCACATAAAATTTAACATAAAATTTGACAAAAATTTAAAATTTTAAATTTAAGATCGATATTAAAATCTTATCAATGTAAATCTAAATCTTCTCCATCATCATCTAAAAATAAAATACTAAATCTCTTAAATATAGATTTACTTGTTAAAAATGAAGGTGGAAATTTAATATTAATTATCTCTGCAACTTCTTCATCATCACCTATAATAAATATTAACGAAATTGTATCATTATTAATCAAATATATGTATGTGCGTGTATAAGATAACTAGGCTTATTAGAACTTGAAAGGTCGGCCGAGTCCGAACCTTTTTTCACAGAGTTTATCAGAGCAAGGCCCCCTAGTTATTTTAAAAAAAATAATTTTGAAAGCTCAAACCCTTGTTTAAATAGGGCCTTTAAGCCTAACCCTTCAGGACCAACCCTTATTATCAACTCTAACAAAAGCATACTAAGATAAAAGGTTATGGAAGTTCATTAATTCGATTTTTTTTTCCTTTCAACATCTCTATGCTCCATGTGTAATTTTGTTTCTCACTTTTAATTTTTATTATCCACATATTTAAATTGATTTCAAATTTAAGGAGGATACATCTATTCTTTAAAAAAAATTAATTACTCTTTCTTTTTTTTAATTACTCATAGGTATTTTTCTATTTGGCAATAATTCTATTTGAGATGTAATAGAACACTAAATACGGAGTACCTCTCTCAATAGGAATTTAGTTATTATTTCTCTTGAGAAGAAAAAAATGCTCCCTTGGTCTCATTTTATAACATATTTTTAAATAAAATTACACAAATCAATAAAACTCATTAATTATACCATACAACATTATTTTTTCAAAACAAAATATAAATTTTATAAAATACCTCTCATTTAATATTCTTTTTTATCAAAGAATATCAAAGAGAGAAAAATTATGAGAAAGGTAATGTTAAAAAAATATCATTAATAAAATCTTATTTTTCTCAAAGTGTTTCAAATGTCAAATCTCCTTAAAAAATGTGTTATAATTTGAGACAAATGACGTACCTAGTTACTCATTATCCTGGTTTACCATAGATTTTTTTTTTTAATCAACAAAAGTTTGGATGATTTAGGTTTTGGGAACTCTTCAAGAGTAAGGTATGCCTCCACATTCAAAGTGTTGGATAGGAAGGTGTAATAGAAAATTAAAATTTTAAAGCTCCTATCTTTATATAGACCGAATGAACTTATTTAAGTCAAAGTAAATAGAAGAGTTATCTTTTAATTCTTCAAACTTGGCGGGTGCTCTTTTCAAGAGTTTGGATCTCAGAAGTTGATAACGTAGATTTGCTCCCTTACCGATATCCACATGAACAACTCTCTAACTTGAATAGCATGTTAGCACTCATAGCGTCCGTTCTTCTTTGAAAGTTAGTTTTTCTTTTTATAGAGTGTTTCATGACTCTCAAAGTGTTTATTTATTTATTTATTTATTTTTGCCGTCATAACTTTTCTAATTCACTCTTCATGAAGCACTTCCCTATTTATATATATGGATTAGGGTTTTCATCTTTCACTTAAAAAGTCCATAAAAATTTAATTAAATTTATCTCATAAATTTAATTCATGATATCATATCTAATTTGAATTTGTCTTGTAAATTCAAATTATAGAACTGATGTGATATTATCTTATATCATATTAGTTATTAAATTTAATCTATCATATAAAATTAAATTTAAAACTAACACAATATAATATAATATATATTACATATACATATTATATTATATATATACGAATATATATATACATATATATATATATATATTTCAAATATATGTGTAATTATATTTTGAATTTTATATTTCATATATATATATATATATATGTATTTATCAAATAAATATTAAAATATATATATATATATATATAATTCATTTACCCTATATTACATTCATTGAATCTAGACATATTTTAGATTCAATGAACTTGGACATTATAGCTCGAGTTAGGCTGTTCTTGTATGCGACCATGTAGACTCATATAAAATTGATAGTAGGCTAATTCTACTATTAGCCCACAAGTCACAAATAACCTCTAGCAAGACATTACAACTACCCAATTCACATAGGGATTGATGATCCAATATAACCTATCATGCAACCATGTCACATCTCTTTTGTCACGCGATATTTCAATCAAGCGTGAGACATGAAATTGTCATTCTCTTTTACCTGACCATTACTTTCTCAATTTTTAAGTGGACTGACTATAACAATGAAAAAAACCCTTTCCATTATAGTATAGTCATACGTTTTCTCAGTCTTACTCATCAAGAAGCCCAATAATATCTCTCACTTAATGTGGGGGACAAATTTCATCTTAACTACTCATATTTCTCTGCATGAATATTACTAAACTTAATCATAGCCTTTATAATCACCCAATCAAAGGTAACTTTTGATTAGGTCAAAGTTTAGTGATCATCATGTAGGAATCCATGATGATCTTAGGTCAAAGGGCTTAATAATATAGTTACATATGAAATAAACTTATGACTTGTACCGCACAACTTTCTCAAAGCGGGTCGGTCTAGCATCTTATACTTTTTGAAGCGTCTATGGCTTTGATTTATATCTCTATAATTAATTAAAGTCATACTAGTCTTGTTTCATCTATGGTATCTTATAGATGACTGATCATGGATATTTAGGACAATCACTATAATTTGTCCAAATATTTAGTTATCATGGTGAACATATAATTGATATGCTAACCAAAAAAAAATTCATTAAATAATAACGTAAATAATATAATAATTGACTTCAAAGCACAATTTCCAACACAAAGGACTCTTACAAAGATAATTATATATTGTCTATTAACAAAATACTCACGTTCACAGTTAGATTTAATTCCTTAACCTTGTTTATCATAGATATTATTCACAAACCAACCATAAATTTATAATTTTATTATTTTCATAAAACATAAAAATCTTTTTTCTTTTTCTTAAAAAGATAAATTTTATTAAATTTACGGATTCCTGATACTTGAAAATCCATTCCCCGCGTTTTTATAAAAAGCATGCGGGATTTGAGTGCAATGGATATCAAGCACGCCATACATTGGCCTGGTTCATTGCGAGGCTTTAAAGATGGATGGATGCCAAATGCCCTGCAAGTGACAGACAAAAAGATGAGACTGGGCCCTGGTATCTCAAATTCAACCAATATTTTACAATCAATTTACACATCTTTTTTTATTAAAAAATATAAAATATTTTTAATTTTTTAAAATATAATTATTATTTTTTAAAAGTATTTTTATTAATAAATAATTTTATATTTATTATAAAATTTTAATAAATATAAATATAAAAAAATAAAATTAATTTAAAAATAGTAACTACTTTATTTAAAGAAGTGATTTAATTAAAAATATTTTATAATTTTTAATAAAAAAAGTATTTACTTTTAAGTAAACACGTTAAAACTTCACGTTCCAAATAAATACGCCTTGAATTGTTAATATTTATTATTATAAATTATTTTTATTGATTAAATAATATTTTCAGATGCTATGTTCTACGTCACTGTGTGTTTTTCAATTGTTATTGTTATTTTTTAAAAATTTAAATGTCCACCCGCAATGCAATGAAGGGGACAAATTATCATAGTTAATGGCTTTTTTTTTTTAAAAAAATGAAGTTGCTAAAGCATCATATTATTCCTTTTAATTTACTTTGTTTTTTCCCCCTCAAAACTGATTACTTACTTTAAACAAGTTTGAAACTTAAACCCCACGTAACATATCAAGCAAACTATTTCTTTTAAAAAAATGGATTAGCATTATTTGCAACAATGAATATCCTTCGAGTATCAAACAACCATAATAAATAATTAATTTAAAAAGTTAAACACTCTAAATGAATCTCTTAAATTATAACAATCAAATAAAAGCAATTACTTGATTAGTTAAAATAACTAAAAAATTGGATATGTGCCTTGTATCTGATTAAGAAAAACGGGGGCCTCGTGCATTATAAGGAGATGAGTATATGGTTTATTAATAGCGTGGTTTTCAATTAATTTCGTAATTATATATGGATGATGATATTGATAAATTACTTAACAGTTAATGAAAAATCTCAAATTTCTATCTGAAACAAATTTGACTTTTGTCCAGTTCTAGTTCAATTAACTGAATTTCTAGTTCAATTATTAAAATACAAATTTTATAAAATGGTCATTATGTGGAATGCCTTCTTAAATTTTACTTCCTTCATTACAAAATATAAGACATTTTTAATCAAATCTCACCCTCAATAAAGTAATTACCTACTTTCAAACTAACCTATCTTTTTATATTTACTCTTATTAAACACTCTACAATAAATATAAAGTTATTATCAATAGAGTCACTTTTAAAAAAAAGCAATGATCACACCTTAAAAGATTAAAAATGTTTTACATTTTTTAACATCCAACTCTTTAAAAAATATCTTATATTTTTTAATGGAGAGAGTAACAAAGAGCAAATCAGAGAAATATAATTTTAAAATTATAAATTCAGATATAATCTAAAGTTTATTAAATAGAGAGGGCATATCAATCAAAATCCCAGAATAAAGCCCACAACAAAATTACTTTGTGCATGAAGAATATTTCACTTTAAGGAGCCTCTTTTTGGTACACAAAGTGTTGAGAAGTCAATTAACGAGTGGTTCATTATTATTATTATGATCATCATCACCATAAAAATTATCAAGAGTTCTGTTAAATATTTTCTTATTGCCATATTTTTATTAAAAGCAATTCTATTGAATATACAATCAAATATGAATATTTCTTTTAAAAGGATTTTAAATCTTAATTTGTTTATGACATACAATTTATTTACTGTATACAACTATTTTTTTATTGAAACAATTTAAGATACAATTGAACATATACACCTTGAATTCTTGAAAAAAAATATTTTACTCTTTGATAACCAAAAATAAAAAAAATAAAAACATTTTACTCTACTTACTAGCTTAATTTTGAACTTCTCTTTTCCTTACAATGTATACAGAGAAGACTAAAAGATTAGCAATTTATTAATATCACTAGTTTGATGGTAAATAAACACATCAATAAAGCTACTTTTCCAAAGCAAATGATAAAATGAACAAGAATAATTCTTCAAGAAAAAGCTGAAAACGTTGACATCTCGACCAAAATGGCATATCTTTATGGAACACTATCTTTCTCATAATATTGATAAAGACTAACGTAGATAAAAACATTCCTGTTAGGGGCAAACACGCCGCAACAACTATTTCGCAAGGAATATTATGATTTCACCATCTAAAAGACTGAAACACCGACATCTGCTTTTGATTCTCTGAATAATTCTTATTAGCTACTCGTATAACCACTACTTCATTCAATTAATCAGTACATTATGTGTGTGTGAGAAGAATTCAATAAAGGCTACGCTCAGATGTTCAATAATGAAGTCCACGAAGGTGAGTGCAGTCGTTCTCACTTCTCACAGAAAGACTATCAACTTAACCGGAGACCCATAACAAAAATTCAAACGAAAGACTTCGTATAAGCATAAATGAGAATGAGAATTGAGTATAAAAAATGGTAAGAGTACAAGTCATTGTCAAAGGAAATATGAATCCTGCAAACAGACGTGCTTGTGGTGTATATATCAAAATTTCTGCATTGAACCTTCAATTCATTTTAACTGGTAACACCTAAAAACAAGGAATTCCTGCCATCACTATGAAACAAGCTCCGACTTCACAATGTCAATACCCAAGCAGAAGATTTCAGCAGCTAAGTTCCTGGACTCTAATTCTTCCGAAGAGGCAAAATCAGCCGTTACCGTTTCTTGTTCTGTTTTTTCCCCTTATTTTTACCTCTCTTTGGATTTGGCCGTGACTTGCGCTTGGCAACTTTTTTAAATGGTTTCTTATGTTTTATTGGTACATTGTGCTTCTTATCAGCTACAACAGGGTGAGACACAATCCTTTCACGAGGATAGGTTTCTTCTTCATGGCCAATCTCACTGGTTATCACAGTGACTTTCACATCATCATTTTCATATGTCCTTCTCCCTGTCAGCAACGGAAGGTAAATCCAATCATCAAACAAGTCACTAACCAAAAGCTAATAAAATAAAATCACAGAAATGATTGCACGTGATGCAGAGAGGTTTTGGTAAAACTTTAAGCAATAAAAGCCTCTATCGAGTACAATAATTAGAGCTTTGGAAGTCACATGGTAAAATTTCAGGACAGAATCAAAAGATATTCCACAGCAATTAATTGCACAATTCTTTAACAAGCATGTGGAAACCACCAGCTTTCCTTTCTTACGTATTTAACTTATGAGTCGGACAAGAGACTCTTGAAGATAATGTTTGAAATTATATAGGAGTTGTCTTGTACTGAATCATCTCAGAAAGGCCAAAAGATACAGTAGATGGAATCTTAGCATCAGAGAACAATGGAAAAATAAGATAGCAGCTTAACCAGACCAGCTCAGCTAACTCATGTTTATAGAGTCTCAGGGCATCGGATAACAGCTGGAACAAACAAAAGCTTCTTGATTCTAGGAACAAGTATTATACATTTTCAAATAAATAGTTGCAGTCTTCACAAACTTACCAGAAAGAGATTCAACTTGCTCCTTATCTTCTTCATTCCCATCAACTTCATCATCAGGCTCCGGGTCAGTGGTTGGCAGAACCCCACCATACAGAGCAAGTTCTTTTTCCAACCTTCTCTGCAACAATAGCTCAATCAGAAAGATTGCAAAGGTAAACCTTGATCTATGTGAGACAAACCTACAACTCAATGTTCCTAGTCTCAAGTGTCATACTGTATACAAGAAGACATTGAAGAAGGCAAGGCAAAATGCTGCACTCAAGCCTTCCAATATGTGAATAAAGGGAAAAACAATATTCCATTTTTGCCCATCTTATTCAAGCTGTGTTCGAATGAATAGACCTTTTCATTACTAAAATAAGACAGAGGCCCTTGCATACAAAGTGTCAAAGTCATGCCCAATCAATTCAAGCAGAGCAAACATTAAACAATCCTTCCACATGTTAAGAAAATGAGCATAGAAGTTTTTCAAGGTAAATACCCTTATTGCATACATTAGACCACCAAACATCTAACAGACATAGTTATTGTCCAGTGCCTTAATTTGAATTACCTAATACTAATGCTCGGCAATAGCCTTCTAATGACTGTGAATCTGCAAGTAGTATACTAAGATGGATCCCATTAAGGCATACAAACTCAGCCACGTGTATGTGGTCTAGCACAGGGGACTGGATAACATCAGGTCCTTGCATTTGCTAATCTCATAAGCTTCAGTTGTTATGCAATTACATTCCACCGCTATCCCTCCCCGCCCAAAAAAATAAAAAATAAAAAATCCCTCTCTTATTTTTGCATTTTTTGTTATATTCAGTGGCGTTTTGCTCAAGTAAGAACAATTCTAAATCAAACTCAACATAGGAACTGAAATTCATACGTCCTCTAGAACAAAGTCCAGAAGTTTACAGCATTCAAACCTAAAAATCAACAATAAACTAATTCGATCTCAAACCTAAAAACCATTGCTTAATAATTAGAATTTTCCATTCATGCCTTAAAGGAGAGTGCATACCAAAAGACCTCACAAGTACGAGGACTCATTGGATTAATCATGTCAGTTAAACACTCACCAAAGAATGTAAATTACGATTAAAAAGACTCCAGCATATAATTGCGAGCCGAGGAATAAGGAACATGTTTCAAAGGTTCTACCTTTTTGCGCAGTTCGATGCGTTTCCACCGTTCCGCCTCCTCTTGTTTTCTTTGAGCTTCCTTCCTCCTCTTCTTCTTCCGCTTGTGAAACCCAGTCACGTAATCCCTTCAAACCCCACAGGACAACTCACTGTCATTATCAACCTCAAAATCTGCAATATTTTACTCACCAAAAGAAAAAAAATCAAAACAATTCGAGCTCTGATTGTATCAAAAAACTGAAAAGGATAGGGCCAGTACTTGAGGTCTTTCTCGTTGAAACCTACGGCCAAAGCTTTGTTCTTTAAAGCCCTCTTCTTGAGATGGCGACCTTGAGACCCTACCTGCGGAACTACTTCCTCTTCCACGTTGCCTACCATTGCCGCTCCAGAAACCTAGTCGCCTCCTTTGTAAATTGGCAAACTGTGAACTGAACGCGGCTCTGCAGTCAGGTCGTTAGGCGTTAGGGATCACATGAACGCAGAACTCCGGTCTCTCAGAAAAACTTGAATTCGAGCCAAATTAAAAAGGCCAAAAAAAAAAAAAAAAAGGGAGAGGGAGGAGAAAAACTTGAATTTTAGCTTATTTTTTTAATAATTTAATTTAATATTTTAATATATAAAGAAAAATGATGATAAAATCTTACTTAAATATATAAATAATAATTAATTTTTTTAAAATGTCATAATTTATTTAAAATTTTTAAGTATTTTTATAATATTAATAACTTTGACTTAAATGATTACATTGTCTCTTATTTAAAATTAATTGCGATTTTTATTTAAGCTCACAAAAATTTAAATAAAAAATTATAATTTTTTATGTAAATTTTTTTTATAATTAATAAATAAGTTTTAAAAGCAACCAGTTTTAATCACAATCTTTATATAAGTTATCACAATTTTAATTTTATGAATAACAAAAATTAAATAAAAAATTCCAACTTCTTATGTAATTTTTTTTAATATTGAAATTTAAATTTTAAAAGTAATCAATTGTAACTCTTGTTTAAGCAATCACAACTTTTATGTTGTGAATCTCAAGTTTTATATGAAGTTTTTTTTATTTTTAAAGTCTAAATTTTAAAAATAACCAGTTATAACTTTTATTTGAACAATAATAACTTTTGTTCTATGAATCACATGAATTAAATAAAAAATTATAAATTTTTACGTAAACTTATTGATAATTTAATCATTTGATATAAAATCATTAATATTAGAAAGGTACTAAAGACTTTGAAAAATTTATAACATTTTAAAAAACTTGATTGTTATTTAGATATTTCGGTAAAGTTTTATAATCATTTTCCTTGTATGTCATTTGTGTTTGGGAAGGGGATGGTTTTAATGTATTTAATTAATTTTCCTTGTATCTCATTTGTGTTTGGGAAGGGGATGGTTTTAATGTATTTAATTACTTCTCCGTCCCTGATTTTAAGTCCCAGTTTTTGGTTAAAAAAAATCTCGTTACAAAGTTCTAAATGTAATTAAAATAATTTCCCAAAATACCTCTTATAAAAGGTCAAAATTATGTGTCATATTATATGATTAAGAGATAAAAATCCTCTGAAGTTGGTTGCCCAAAATTTTGTGATTTGAGATAATATTAGCATTTGATTAAACAAACTTTCATGATTAGGTCACGTTGAATGTTTCAGGGTAATATTAATTGGCAACCCATAAAAAAGATGCGAGGAAAAATTAAAAACAGAGACTTGTAATTAAAAATAGAACAAATACCTACCACAATAACCCTTGAGGATCAAGTCCTCCACCAATATTAACCCTACATAATAAAATAGAAGAATCATATTCAAGAATCACTCAAAAAATATATTTGTAGACAAGGACTAACAAGTTCCATTAAAAAAAAAAAATAAGTTTATGTTTTTATTTTTACAACAAATCATTCTGCATTGGTCCTTGTCTATGAATAAGTTTCTTAAGTGATCTTTAAATGTAATTTTCTTTAATAAAATCCATCATTGCTAGAAGATTTTTTTTTTTTGGGGTTAATGGGCAAAAATCCCATGAACTTTTTCTCTAGGGACAATTCAATTTGACTAATGTTGATGAAATGCGTCCAAAAGTACCGAAACCATTAAATTTAACTAACATTAATTAATGTTGACTATTTAAAAAAGGAAAGCAAATATAAAGTGTAAAAATATTTATAAAATTTTTCTCTAGGAGCTTTTGATATTCTAAAGTTAACAATAGTGCATTGGTAAATATTAATTTTATAAAATAAGCCAACATTCCCCAATCTATTAAGTTCTATTATTAAAACTTCATGATCAATATCAAGTTATTTAACAAATTGAGAAATGTCATATCTGGTAACTTAAGTCAAGCCTAACATGTCAGCCTAAATAAGCTTGAAAAATCTTAGCATTGGACTTAGGGGTTTAAAAAGTTTTATTTATTTTAAACTTATTTGAGCTATCTAAAGAAGACCAAAAAATTTAGGCAAAGCCCAAATCTAAATAAGCTTAGCCCAAATATTCAAATTCTTTTTCATTATTAATAAAATAAAATAAATTTTTAAAAATCTTCATTTTTAAAATAAAAATAAAAATTTGCTAATGAATAAAAAATAAAATAAAATAAAATAAAATAATATTTTAGAATTTGCGCCAACCTGAATAAGCCAGAGTTGTTAGGGCCAGTGTAGTTATATGACATCTTTTATAAAGTTAATGAATACCCATATACTATTGTTGATTTAAGGATTCTAGAAGCTCCTTGATAAAAAAAAAAATTAATAGGTATTTTTGAATTTTATATTTGCTTCCTTCTTTTTAATGGCCAACATTAACGAATGATAGTTAGATTTAACAGTTTGACCACTTTTGCACTTAGTTCATCAATGTTACAAGCACTATTACATTGTCCTTCACTTAAGGATATTGGATGCTTATGGAAAAAAAATTTATAGGTATTTTTGTTTTTTAAACCTCTTATTATTAAATTGAATAATACCTTCCATACCTCTTTCAAATTAATGAATGAATAATGCCTTGTTGTATAAAGATCCCTCATCAACAATGAATGATCTCCAAACTAATTTCACTATTAAAGCCTTACTAAGAGAGATTAAGATCTTGTTTGATTGTTAGAAAGGAATGGAATGGATAAAAAATAAAAGTAAAAGTAAAATGATCAAAATGTGGAGGAGAATGGGTGAATCATATTCAAAAGGGGAAAGGATAATTTAATTCATAGGGTTGAGAGTCATTATTTATAACATTTGTGAAGAATGTGATGATTTCTATATTTGTGATATATAGTATTACGTTTTAGGGTTAAGGGTCAAATTTTTCCTTTAACTGTACACAAAAAGTTAATAGAGACCTTAAACTCAATTTGGGATCAATTTTATCCCTCAACTTACAAATTCATTGTTGCCGTGCCCTTGGGGTTAACCCTCCCAATCTGTAGTTATATGGGTCCCACATTTAAATTTTTTTAATATTTTTAGTGGGGTCCCATCATTTTTATAATATAAAAAAAATCCTCTCTCCCCCTCTCCCCTCTCTCTCCTTTATTTCATCCCTTTCTCCCCATGTGTCTTCTTCTCTCTTCACTTCAAGCCTCATTCCTTTTTAAAACTCAGCCAAATATCATTAATAATGAAATGACTTACGATAAAAAATAAAAGCCCCAAGAGATGAGCAAACACAAAATAGAAAACACACCTTCCATTGATTTGCTTAAATTCTATATCAATAAACACAACCCAAAAAAAATTAAAATATAGAAAAAGAGCACGAAAAACCAATATCTTAAAACATGAAAAAACTAAAGAATAGCTTTCAAAAAGTTGTAGCATTGAAAGTAGACCTTCATGATACTACATGTAATGCCCTTACTGACATTACCGTTTAACCTTTCACACTATCTATCAAACAATTTAAAACTATTTTCTTTGAAAGTTTAGGATCCTAACTTAAAGCTTTTTAAGAAAAAAATCACTACATAAAATGATTTAAGTCATACCAAATAGCACACAATAGAAGCATACAATTAAGAATAGATAAATCTCAAAGGAAACCATTTTTAAGTAACAAAATTTGCACAAAATATGAGCCATGCATCACTGCTCGTGCCACATACATCGTGGCGTGTGGCACAGAGTCTCTGGCATCATGCTTTGTGCCATGCACTGCGATGCACACACCAAATTCTGCTGTTAAATAATAGTTTCTAATGCGAACTTCGAATGTGAGCCATTTTTGCATTCGATATCCAATTAGAGTTATTCAAGCTCCCACATGAAGTTTTTTTTATAATCTAACCAATGATATTGGTTTCATTCAAATTCGATACTCCATTTAAAAGAGGGATACCCAAGTGTATTTTGGCCATTTTAAGTCAAAATTCACCACTTGAACATCACCATTTGAAACCACAAATCATTGGCCACTTTTAGGGCCTTAACTACATCTAAATGGACAATTCATACCTGATTGAGAAATTATATATGTAATATAATACACATACACACATTTGACCTATAAACTGCCCATTTAACACATTTGGCATAAATATCATTTTTCTCATTTACTTTCTACAAAGCTGGCCAACTTTACACATAACATACATAATTCATTTCTATACACACATGTCCTCATCCACTAGCCTATATGGTCATTTTCACCACATACACACATATACATAGAATGGGCTAAGATATCCAAATTCATACTCCCACACATGTAATTCACAAGCTATGTGCATGCTTCGATTCTTATGACAGCTTATATATACAAATAACTTATATATTAGTCATTACACCAATTCATACACTAGGCTTCTTAGAGAAATCTCTATTTCTGGCCTAATTCCTTTCCTTTTACACTACTACTACTATAACTTAAAAAAATATAAATAACTATGGATAAGATCAAAATCTCAGTAACCAAAATAGCTCGTTTAATATCTATTAACACAAATAACCACATAAAAGTAAACAAACCAAAATGATAGTTTATATGTGTGGGTGTATATATATATATCAACAGTACAATAGTTTTTCTTTTCAGAAACATTTACACACAATCCCATTAATAAGCCTGATCATTTATTCATTGACCTTCAAAGCTTCCCAACACAAAACCATAGCCTTTACCAGACCAATTGCTTATTAACTCGAGTGCACCTTTGGTAGAAACACATGGCCAAAGGTAATATATCCTACCTCTGAACTATGATTTCCTTCATCTCACACACTTGTGATAAAGGCATTATTGATTTCTAATCGCACCCTAACGGGCATTAGGGAGTTTTTAGACTTCCCTGATGTCTCATGATAACAGTCCCAGTATATCGCTGCATTAGATGTCCTATAATGTTAGCCCGATATAGATTGTTACACCAGATATCCTATGATACTAGTTTGATCATATGGATTTATTTACTCACGTTTCCACATATACACACATCTACATATATCCTGGGTGAATTCTCACCCCTTATGATCATGCTTTTCACATGCATCAATTA